CGGGCGCCTCACGAACCTCATCGTCAGTCTCTGCCGAGCTGCGGCATGCCTCGTAAGCCCGTCTGCCGCGTTATTCCATCGCTGCCCTTTGCCAAAGGTTGTGCCTTTGTGCTGTTTGATGAGAGAGAGTTTGCAGGGCTGTTTTCCGGGCAGGGCTCTTTGTGCTTCTGACCGCGAGGCTCGGGGGGATGCGGCGCAGTGTGAAGGGTGCCCGGTCTCATTCCCGTCCCTTTGCCCTGGGAACTGCTCTTCGCCTTGCCGTGTCGCAGAGGGCTTGCTGAGCAGCGCCAGGCCAGGCTGCCTCCCTCGGCAAGCGGGAAAGGGGACGTTGCATCTCCCCTACACCCTGCTTTGCTCTGTGCGGCTTTTTAACCAAGATTGCGAAGCCCCCGGCTAGAGTGATCACATGGGGAAGCGAGGGATTTCGGGACTGCTGGGTCAAAGAGATGCCGTTTGGTTTGTTAGAGCCAAAAAGCCCAGCAGAGAGCTCTGTGGACAGAAATGATGACGTGGCCATGCACGTGGTGCAAGGCTAAAGTGTTGGGGGGGGTTCAGGTGTCTGAGATTTGTCCCGCAAGCACTTGCGATAGCACTGTGCTCCTTCTGAGAGCTGTGCTTTTGAGACGGAGCCCGATGGGTGTTACGAGCAAAGCCTGCAGGTTTTCTTTTCTCCTGTTTGGTGTCTGTAGATTTGCTGGGCGTCCTTGTTCTCCGCTGCCCTGACGCGGTAACAGCTGCACCCTCGCCTTCACAAGGGCCGAAGGGCAAAACCGCTGCTGCCAACAGTCTGTGCCTCTGGTGCAACCCGTTTATTGTACTTTTCAGATCCAGTTCAATGCTATCGATGTTCCTGGTTTTCTTCATGCCGGCTACTTTTCAGATAACGTACTGGGAAAAAAGGCAAATGTCTTAATAAGGTCTTACCCCAAGAAAGAGAGGGTATTTTGATGTAGACAGGACCAAATAGCATGTCTTCTGTTGTTTACTGCATATGCTGTATTGATGTTTATTTGAAACCTTCACTTTTTTAAAACTTCTTTAGAGCTAATCATTTACAAGTCGGTACATCTGGTGGCTGTTGAATGTAGTAGTGATGAACCTCTTTGCTCAAAATGTACTTAAATTATATAATTCTAATACATCAGGTCAGCTGCTCCGGTGATTGTCCCTGAATCTTTTGATTTTGAGAAGGGAAATTCAAATCCAGCAAATCGTATTAGCAAGGCGTTCAGGAAGTGCACCAGGGAGCAAACCAGAACGATCCAGAATGAATTTGCAAACTGTTCACTGTGAGTCTTGAATGTAAAAGTTCCCTCTTTGAAATTAGCAATTTTCTCTGAAAGATGGTGCATTTTCACTTCTGAAGAGAAGAGAATCATGATGAGGCAGCCACAGGAACCTGAAACGGAGGGGCGATGCTCATCACCTCGGCAATCCCTGCAGCAAGGCCACGTCACGTACATCACAACCAAATGCCATATTGATAGCGTTATTATGGCCACTGTGAGTTAGCTTTAACAGGGATTATTTTTAGAATCCAAGCCAATGGCTATTGAAATTGATAAGCTTTTTAAATTGAATTTGGCTTAGGACCCGTAAATATTAGCACGGCTGCTTTAGTGCCCTGATCCCGCAAAGCATCTCTGCTCTTTTTCCGCTTTAAGCTGCCCATTGTCCATTGAATGTAACTGAACTGTCTGCATGTTTAAGGATAAAATGTGTTCTTAAGTCCTTTATTAAATTATGATTGTAACATGTAATACCTTGTAAAGTATCGGTAAATCTCCTTATCAACCAAGCTAGGAACACAGAGAATGGGCTTTACCCTCTCGAAGTGGCAAGCGACAGGGAGGGTCCGTTATCCCTCCTGACAGTGTTTTTTCAGAGACCACTTTGACAGCCAGTTGCTGTCGGTCTCTCCCTCGCTCCTTCTCAGTTCCTTCCTCGCTGGTGTAAGCGGTGATCTCGCTTCGGTGGCTGGAAACCTCCCATCGTGGTGAATATGAGCAGTTGCACCATGGAGTTTTTTGGTCAGTTTTTTTCCCCTTCCCACCCCTCTGATGAGATTCCCGGTTCTGGCCACGTGCTGTGTGTCTGTGATGTGTCCCCAGGTCCGGTCCCTGGGGCTCGTGGGCACCATCCTCTTTTTCTGCCAGCTTACGGAGAAGGGCCGGAGGTGTCGGGGCTGCCTGCTACGGTGTCCTGAGGCCACTCGCCCGTGGAGGTGTCGGGGCTGCCTGCTACGGCGTCCTGAGGCCACTCGCCCGTACCTATCCCTCCCGCCCTCGTGGAGGATTTCGACATTTTATCTCCTAACTCCAATTTGGAAAAAACATGTTTTGATGCAGCAAAGTCATGCACCTTTCTGCCTAGATTTATTTTGCCGGTTTAGAGTCAACGCAGCCAGGGTCCTTAATACGCTCTCCTACGCCGATAAATTGGTACTTACAGGCGATGAAGCTCCAGAGGTACAACCCGACGGGGCCGTGCAGAGTTTCATAAGGGCTGCCGAAAGCATTGAACATGAAGAAACCTGCTCCCACCAGAGCAAAGACGATCAGTACTGTACAGAAGAGAATGACACTAACATGGATACTTGCAGGGATAATTTTGAGCAGATCTGGAAAAACTAAAAGGAAAACAAAGAGAACATTATTATACACATTAGGCAAAGTTGTTTCAGAAGTTAGGCCAGGGATTTCTTGCTGGTTTGTGATAACTTTTTTAAATCAGGCTCTTCCAAATGCAACCAAAGATGAAAATTAAGTTATTAACTAGAAACAGGTTTTCATGGATGTTTGGAGGCAGAAGCATTTTGTGAAACTCAGAAGTGTAGGCTGGCCAGGAGAGAAAGACCAGCTCCAGGGAAAGCCTCCCCTCCCCTGCCCGAGGGTATTCCCCTACACGTGTGGTCCCGGCCGTATGCCACGTGGGATGCGTAACGGCACCTCTGCGATCCTGGCACCCTGCCCACGGCCATCCCTGCCCGGCCCTGGGCCCCCCCGGGTGTGACCCCCAGCACCTCCAGCTCTTTAGCGCTGGGGGCCTGATCCAGATCAGCATCCTCAGGGGCTGCTTCCTCACCTCGCTGTGCCGGCAGGCGGAACCGACTCCTCTCCCTCTGTAGGCACCGTTCAGGGCAGCGCGAGGGTTTGGGGATTATTTGTTCCTCAGAAACCAGATCATGCAGACGCAAGGTGGACGGTAACACGCCTACCATCTACCGAGGTGGTATTTGGTCCTTAACGTCACCAGCATATTAGAAAAAATCAGAAGCTGTATTTGAGGAGGCAGGTCCACCTTGCAGCGGTCTGCAGGACGGCATGAAGGGGTACCCACAGCGCCTGTGTACGGGGCTGACCTCGCGTCCCTCAGCTGGAGGCTTGGCCATCTACTCCTCTTTTGGAGAGGGCGACAGCAAATCCAGAAGCAGACCCGCTGCATTTATGCTCGTGAGGTCCCACTGAGGGACATGAGGTTGGAAATTAAGTTATACCAGCCTGGCTCATTCACTGAACAGAGGGCAATCAATATTTCTGTGCTGGCCTGGTTCTTTATCAGCTTGTAAGCTTGGTTACAATTAACGTGTGTGTCACCCTTACACCTGACCCTGCCTGGAGTGGTCAGCAATTCATACGAAATGTGTTTCTCGGATTGGATTGTTCTGGCCAGTAAAGTCTTGTATTTATCTTGTTTTCCCAAGCACAGGTGCAGGGAGGGTCAGGTGAGGATGAGAAGTTCCCGACTCTGTGTCAGTATCTGTTCCGTGTGGGTTGTGTGTCTCGTGGTACCCGGCACAGGGTGAGGTAGCTCCCCTTCCCGTGGGATGCTTCTTCTGGCTCCCCCGGCCCGGGATGGGTGTGTGGGCAGGGGGGCGGCTGGGCAGCCCCTGTGGGCGCGGGGTCCCGCAGGGTCCCTCTCCCTCCCACTGGCTTCTTGGTCGGGACCACGTCACGGGCAACGCGTGACGGACCAAGTCGTCGGGAATGCTCAGGTCCTGGCTGTACGGAGGGGTGAGGAGGTCCCTGTTTTTTTTTTCTGGCAGCCTCGGGGGGGTTGTGTGTGTGTGTGCCTGGTTTGGGGTAGCGCCCGCGGTTTGTTCAGGTCTCAGGTGTCTAAAGTGCACAACTCTTAGGGTTTGGCCACTCCATCTGCCCGGGAAGCAAAGAGCTGCTCCTGGCTGGGGCGCTGATTTCCGTTCTGTCCCAGAGCAGCAATTCCACCACTTTCAATAATGCAAATACTCAGTGCTGTTTTGGTAAGTTTATACCCAAAGAATTTTGGCTAAACATATGTGGGTTTTTATCTGAAAACTGTAAGCAATAAATCTGTAAGTTAAAAGGTCCTCATTTTCTTATGAAGAAGCAGGAAATCGTTAGTGAAGCGGCAGCGCTGACATACTGGTGGGTTAAACGTGTTGTGCACCGTGTGTTGCTGGGAGACGTCCAAGGCTCTGGGAACATCCGATATCTGGGGAAGGTACTGGGTGGAGTTGTTTATCGTACAGAGACTCCCTGTGAAAATCCACAAACGGTTATTGCCAAAGAGACGCGTGGACACCTAAAAGGATCGGAGGTTTCTTACCTCTTATCCTCTGGCATTTTTCTATTTTTAGAAAATAGGAAAAAATTAGTATTTTGATAAAAATCCTTAAAAATAGGAGAGAGATATATTTCTGTACGTACGTTAATCTAAAATTATTTTTAAAATTAAATATGATACTAAAGAGGGAGAAATTCGTAAAGGTTACATCAAAGAGTTATTTGCAACAAACT